CACCAACCAAAAGTATTCTTGGGCTGGACAGAGGCCCCCTACATACATGTAGCTGATATGCAGCTTGGTCTTCAAGTGGGTCCCCTAACAACTGGAGCAAAGGCTGTCTTTGACTCTGTTACTTGCCTTTGGATCCCCTTTCCTTGTCTGGGCTGCCTTGTCTGGCCTCAGTGGGAGAGGATGCACTTAGTCTTGATTCAACTTGATGTACCAGGGTAGGTTGGTACCCATGAGTGGTCTCCCCTTCTTTGAGGAGAAAAGGAAGAGTGCATGAGATGGAGCCTCCTCCATCAAGGATACCAGGAGGAGCGGAGGGAGAGGGGGCTGTAATCAGAATGTAAAGTGAATAAATAAGGAAATTTTAAAAAGTGAAAACTAGAGTATTTTTATAACATATTCCAAAAAAAATCACCTGTAAAGTAATTATTTAAATTCTTAAGGGAGTCCAGTAGTTTTTAGAAAGTCATTGTACAGCCGGGTGGTGATGGTGCACACCTTTAATCCCAGCACTTGGGAGGCAGAGGCAGGCGGATTTCTGAGTTCAAGGCCAGCCTGGTCTACAGAGTGAGTTCCAGGACAGCCAGGGCTACACAGAGAAACCCTGTCTCGAAAAAAAACCAAAAAAAAAAAAAAAAAACCAAAAAAAAAAAAAAAAAGAAAAAGAAAAGAAAAAGAAAGTCGTCGTATCCCAGGCCTGATTTTAAGGTTTGTGCACGTGGAGCTCAGAGGAGGGTCTCAGGTGTCCTCCCTCAGGAGCCATCCCTCGGTCTGGCCGTCAGTAATTTGGCTAGGCTGCTGGGCTGATAAAACCCAGAGATTTGACTCCTCCTCCCTGGGATTATGAGCACGGCACATCACCCACTTTTACCTTTTTTTAAAAAAGGTGCAATCTGGGATTCAAACTCAAACCCTTGTGCTGCATGTACTTTACCAACTGAGCTATCTTCCCAGCCCAGAAGAATATGCTCTAAAATAAAAAGCAAACCCTCCTTTACAGCTCTCCAGTGCCTACTTTCAACTAATGAATATTTGGAAATGTAGTTGTACTGTCTAAGAGTGCCTACTTCAATTCGAAGTGTTCTTCACATTCGGAAAAAAATGAGTGAAAAAGCTTGAGATTTTCAGGCCCTCCCTAGTGACATACTCTCTTGTTAGAATTTGGTCAGGGTTTTCCGAATTTATCTTAACAGTAAAAAGAAAACAGTGTAAAAAGAAAACAGTTGGCTAGGCATGGTGACTCATATCTATAATACCAGTACTCTTAGAGGCTGAGGCAGGAGAATTGCCATGAGTTTGAGGCCAGTGTGGCTACACAGTAGGGAACCGTCTCTTAGATTAACTAATTAAAAAACAAACAGATACATACTCAGGCACGTTAGTGCATGCTTTTAATCCCTAGCAAAAGCAGGCAAATTTCCATGTATTCAAGACCAGCTTGGTTGACAAACTGCTGTGGTCTCAACCAACCTTCCCAATCCTGAGGCCTTTTAACATACTTCCTCATGTTGTGCTAGCCCAAACCATAAAATTGTTTCATTGCTACTTCATAATTGTAATTTTGCTTCTGTTATGAATCCTAATGTGATTGTCTGATATGTGACCCCTAAAGGGGTCTTAACCCATAGGTTGAGAACCACTGACATATTAAGTTCTAGATCATCTAGGGTGACACATAGAATCAATCTCAATCTCTCTCTCTCTCTCTCTGTCCTGGAACTCACTCTGTAGACCAGGCTAGCCTCGAACTCTCGAACTCAGAAATCTACCTGCCTCTACCTCCCAAGTGCTGGGATTAAAGGCGTGCACCACCACTGCCCAGCCCAGAAACCCTATCTCAAAGAAGGAGGGGAGACTTAAAGGTTAATTTGAAAAAAAAAAAAAATACAGGTAGCAAGTGAGTACATGAGAAGATGGCAAATGTACTTATTAGAAGTCCTGAAATTAAAACAGTGAGCTACCACTCCATAGAAATATACTGAGTGTTGGAAAAGGTACAGAGGACCTAAGACTTATGCTTGCTGGTAGAAACACAAAACATGGCAATAATTTTGGGAAAATATAGGTTGTTTCTTTTTTGTTTGTTTGTTTGTTTGGTTTTTTTGAGACAGGGTTTCTCTGTGTAGCCCTGGCTGTCCTGGAACTCACTCTGTAGACCAGGCTAGCCTCGAACTCTCGAACTCAGAGATCCGCCTGCCTCTGCCTCCCAAGTGCTGGGATTAAAGGTGTGTACCACCACCGCCCAGCTAGGTTGTTTCTTTAAAAGGAACTTTTAAATTATGTTTATTTGTGAGCATGTGTGTGTGTATGTGTGTGTGTGTGCCCAGACGTGACTGTCAAACTTGGAAGCAAGTCCTTTTACTTTCTGAGCCATCTCATTCACTCAGCTGTTTCTTAAAAAGTTAAACACACACCTTTTACCTGCCAGCCTTTGTTCTTGGAGGTATGTATCTAAAAGAACTGAAAGCACGCACGTCTATGTTAATAGCATGTTTGTGAATGACTACAGCACCTTTTTTGGTGGTCCCTGACTGAGGGTGGTTCATGATCTCCCAATTTACAGTATTGTGAAAGTGACAGGCATCTAGTAGAAACTGCACTGCAAATCACCAATTCTTTATATATATATATATGCACCTCCTCCCCACATACATACACACACACACACACACACACACACACACATATATATATATATAAAGACAGAGTGTCTCTACATAGCTCTGACTTCCTGGAACTTGCTCTGTGGACAAATTGGCCTGCAGTTCACAGAGATCTGCCTGCCTCTGCCTCCCCAGTGCTCAGATTTAAAGGGTCCACCATTATCCCCAGCCAAATTACAACTTCTTAACTTCTCCCAGGAAAGTGCTAGGTGGTCTAAGGCTTTCTCCTGATGTCCAGCAGCAGCAGAGAATCGCAGCTCCAGCCAACCAGGTGATGCAGACCGTAAACAACCATTCAGACCTGATAACTCACACCCTTAATCCTAGCATTTGAGACGACACAGGAGGGTTAGTGCAAATTGGAGGCCAGCCTGGGCTACAGTGAGTTCTAGGCTAGCTTAGGCTTAGGGTACCCTGTCAAAAATAAAACAAAAATGAGAGAGCAACCCAGAAAACGACTGAGGATGATCTGTGACGCACAGTGGGTTGCTCAGCTGTGGTGGTCAGTAGGTTAGGTGTGATTTTATTTCAATTTATGGTATTTTCAATTTACTATGGGTTTATTGGGATGGACCCTCATTAGAAGTCAAAGTACGCCGGGCAGTGGTGGCACACGCCTTTAATCCCAGCACTTGGGAGGCAGAGGCAGGCGGATTTCTGAGTTCAAGGCCAGCCTGGTCTACAGAGTGAGTTCCAGGACAGCCAGGGCTACACAGAGAAACCCTGTCTCGAAAAACCAAAAAAAAAAAAAGAAGCCTTCAGGGTGATAGCTATATTTAGTCTCTGGCTGTGATATGTTTTATGGAGAGGGTGTGTGTGTGTCTCAAACTACACTTTATCTGTTGTTGTTCAATAGACTTGTCTCAATTAACAATTACTCTCAATTTTTATTTTTTTCAAATTTCATTTATTCGCTTTGTATGTGAGTGTGTGCATGTACGCCACGTCTTTCAAGTGGAGGTCAGGAGGGGACTTGATGGAGTTAGTTCTCTCCTCCCTCCATGCGGGCTCTGGAAAGCAACCTCAGGTCATCAGGCTATGCAGGCACCTTTATCACTGAAGTTATCCCCCAATTCTAAAAGTCTTCTCTTTTTTTCTTTTTTTTTTTTTTTTTTTGTTGTTGTTTTTCGAGACAGGGTTTCTCTGTGTAGCCCTGGCTGTCCTGGAACTCACTCTGTAGACCAGGCTGGCCTTGAACTCAGAAATCCGCCTGCCTCTGCCTCCCAAGTGCTGGGATTAAAGGCATGCACCACCACCGCCCGGCTCTCTAAAAGTCTTTATACCCCTCCCTCTCCTTCTTTAGGAAACAGGGTCACACAGTGCAGCTCTGGCTGGTCTTGAACTCACAGTGATCCACCTACCTCTACTTTGAGGGCCCTAGGACTGAAGGAGTGAGTGCTCCATCACACCTGCCTCCACATTCATTCTTGAACACAGCATTACTTACTCCTAGCAGTGAGTTAAATGAGAAGAGGAGCTGGGTGGATTTCTGAGTTCAAGGCCAGCCTGGTCTACAGAGTGAGTTCCAGGACAGCCAGAGCTACTCAGAGAAACCCTGTCTCGAAAAACAAAAAACAAACAACAACAACAACCAAAAAAACCCAAAAAAACAAAAACAAAAACAAAACAAAAACAAAAAAGAAAGAAAAAGAAGAAGAAAGAGGAACCCTCAGGTGCACGGACAGAGCCCACTAGGACCAAACCTTAGTGGCAATGCCCAGAACATCATGTACTTTGGAGAAGATAGTGATTGTCTAAAGGAACAGAGCAAATGTTAATGTTGATTTTGAAGCCACACAGGGGGACAGGAGCATTAAGTAAATTCCCATAGCTGTGACTACTGCCACTATGAATTGGTAGTGTCATTCCACATCACAAACCTTTGAAACTCTGTAATCCTTAATGACAACCTGTTAAGCACTAGAAACCACACTTCTGATGACAGAACTGAATAAAATCCTCAAGCATTCTACCAAGTATGATTTAGGCAAGTCAAGTGGCATTGGCCACCAATCCTTACCCACTGTGGCCAAACAGAGGCCCTGAGGTTTGGGGTTCTGGAGGAGAGCTGGGGGTGAGGGCTGTAATTTCGACTTCATATCTGGCTCAAGTATTGGTTCTAAAAACTGGGTTTGGTATTGTGGATGACAGAGAGCCACTATCACCAGACTGGAAAAACAGCCCCAACTGCTTGTATCATCATACTGGGTCAGCTGCATCATCTTTCTGTGGAAAGAATGCCCTAATTATTCTAAGTACCTTCAGAATCAATCAGTAAACCATTGGAAGTCATTTCACGTTTCTGCCTATTTGACTTGTCACTGGTCTATTACATTGTACCTGACAGCGTTGTGAAAAATTCCTTCAGCTAACAGAAATTTTGTGCCTTTTCTTTTCTCTGTAGCTCAGGCAGACCTCCAGTTCAAAGGCACAGCAATCCTCTTCGTGCTGGGACAGAAGGCTTGGGACACTATGCCACACTCCCTTATTTCTGTCCCAGAAAAGGTTCAGCTTGGGCTATCTGGGCTTCTCTTTTCATGCAGGCAGCCGTCCCCGGTTCTGTAGGTCTCTTCTGGAATGTCAGCTGTATTTGGGAAACATAAACCAACATACTGAGACCCAGAGGACTGAAACGTGTCCTAGGTGTGCCCCAAGACACCAAGGCAAGCCATGACACTCTGGAGGGAGTGACTGCTGTCATATTAGGAATCTCAGAGTTGCAGCCTTCAAGTCTCTAAAACGGATATGAAGTCTACGGAGTAAGTTTTGGGAAAGTAAATGAACTAACCTTTCAAAGACATACAGTCCAGTATAGCGCCAGGAACACCGGCAGGGGACAACGCTCTGTTTTTACCTTTCCTCTATCAGTTTGCCTTTGAGATCAGAAAGAAAGGGACGGGCAAGAATACAAAGTGCTGATTCAAAGAGATTCCTGATTAAAAAACAAACAAAAGCAGGTAGACTTCCCAGTCAAGGCACTCCTCTGATTAAAAACAAAGGAACCACCTAGACTTTTGGGCTGGCTGAACCCCTGGTGAAGATGCTTGCAGAGGGCAACTGGTATGAATCCAGAAAAGGACCTGAAAAGCTGCCCCCGCCCCAGGCTTTGCCACAGCACTTTCCCAGTTTCTTTTGCTCTGCGTTCAAAGTTTAGAGAGAACGAGCAGGAATTTTTGGCAAAGAGCGTTGACCGAGGCAGAGGTCAGACCCACAGGTGCGGCTGCTGCGTGGGGAGGGAGATCTGGCAAGTGTCCATGCAGGCCTCCCCGGGCCTGGCACGTGGGCTCGGAGGCTGCTCCCGGGGTTTCCTGCGCAACATCTGGGTGAGCTGCAGCCCGAGAGGAGATGGATGGAGTGGCCGGTCAGCGGCGGGCCAGTTCGGGGAGCTTCCCGTCTCCTCCACCGTCTGAGCGCCAAAGGATGCCTGGGAGTTGATGAGAACCAAGACGGCTGGGAAGCCCCCAGGCGCCGGGGCGGGGCGGCCGCAGCCCGCTGACCAGCCGGGAGGAGGGGCGCCGAGGTCCTCGGTGGCGTGAGGGCGGGGCCGGGGGCTGGGACCCGCGGGAGGGAGCGCCGCGCCCGCCGCGCTGCCATTGGCCGGGAAGGCCCGAAGCAGGCGAGGGGAGGAGGCGGCGCTCCATTGGTCGGGCTCGCTGGCCAATCCCTGGAGGCCCGGGGGGGGGGGGGGGGGACCAGGCTGGGGGCTGAGCGTGCGGAGCCGCGGAGCGGGCAGCGAGCTGGGCAACTGGTCCCACTCCAGAGCGACCCGGAGCCTCCGCGGGACCCGAGTCCGAGCGAACCTCGGAGCATCATCCGCCTCCGTCTGCCGCGTTCCGGCTTCTTCGGCGCCGCGCTGAGGAGCGAGCTCCTGCATCACCCGCACGGCCGTCGCTGGGACTAAGAGCAGGGACACCGAGGGTGACTGACCCCCCAGAGTCCGAGCGCAACCCCTTCCCGTCGTCCGAACAGCCATGACCCACTTCAACAAGGGCCCTTCCTACGGACTCTCCGCCGAGGTCAAGAACAAGGTACTCGTGCGGGCGGGCTGGGGGTCTGCCGCGGCGGGGGGGGAGGGCTGCGAGCCGCCGCGGAGAGACGTCGAGGCTGCGGGAGAGATAGATGCTCCCCGGCTTGCAGAGACGGCTCGCACGCGCTGGTCCTGGCTTTGTTCCCGCGCCGCAGCCCGGGCAGACGGTGGGTTCCCGGACGCCTGGAGTCCCGCAGCGCCGCGGGGCCCGCTCGGAGGCTGTAGGGTGCGCCCCTCCGGGAAGGGGGCGCTCCTGAGTGGCCTGTGGCCCTTAGGCGGGGCCCTGCCTCGGGGTCTGGTCTCCGGGAGTTGCCGCCCCCGCCATCCGCCTGGGCCGGGGTTGACTTGAGACCCTACGTCTCCTCTCCTCCCATCCCGTCCTGGCCCCCTCCTCCCACAAGCGAAGTTGGGCGGTTACGTGGCCAAACCGGGCCCCTCATTGTTCCTTTCCTCCTCCATGGGAGGGGACGCAGAGTGTCCCGCCGACCCCTGGGACCCGCGGGCGGAAAGGGAGCGGGTCGGTGGTGCCTTGATGCAATCGCCGCTGGTGCGGGAAACCCAGACAAAGCCTGAACGCGCAGCCTGCGAGCCGGTTCAGCTGTAGATGGGAGACTTAGAAATACAATCCTGAGAAGTTTGCAGCGCGTTGCATTGTCACGATATCTCGGCAGGGTCGGTTTTGTTCGGGGTTTATTTGCTGTGCGGGTTGCAATTTTGGAGTGATTGGAGTCTGGCTACGCTGCTTTGCCGTGTACTCATCTCAAGAATGCATCAGGGTTTATCTTTCAGACTTTTGGCCTGGGAAAGAGATGAGAGGCGCCCCCCTCCCCAAATCCTCTCCTTCCTTCCTCCCTGCCTGCATTCCAAGTCCATGACATCAGGGGTTTCGGGGAGTGGGGGTGACCAGCCAATCGGCGTGGAACTGCGCACAGACCGCTCATTGTCTCCCCTTTGCTGTTCCGGCCAAAGCGCCACAAAGGAAGGCTGCTGTGGTTTAATTCCCATTAACTTCCCGGGAGCCGAAGCATGTCAGGATTGTCACCACGCTGTCCCACCTCCGGTAGAATACTTTGGCATCATCAGAGCAGAGAGAGTTGTGGGTGTCTGTGGTGTGAAGGGAAGTACGTAGAAGTAATGAAGCGCACCGTTGTCAGACCCAAGCGAGAGTGGTTTATTTTTTTTCCCCGCTGTTGTATTTAGCGCACCCCTTTGTAGTTCATCTAGAAGATTCTAAACAGTTTTTGAAGCAAGGGGCTAATTTTATTCTGTGTTCAAAAAATTGTAATCTTTGGGGTGTTTTAACCTTTTCAAATGTTTTGTCTGTATAAAAGTTTTCCAAAAGAGGCAGAAAAGTTTGTTTGGACGACAGCACTCACCAACTGAAAACTTCGTTAAAAAATAGCGGTCCTTTCAAGTTTATAGCCCTAGCTTTAGGCAGTCGAGGGCGTTGGCGTGTGAGAACTGGGTGCTTTGTGCCCTGGTGCCGCTTGGTGCGTGATTTCCCATTCCCTCTGGGATTCTGGCGCCCACTGAGTCTCTTTACCTTTGCGTTGTAAATGAGGGACTGGTGACTTTGGCAGCCCTACAAGTGACTTGACTTTTCCTGGTTCTTGGTTTCCAAGCTGGCTTTCTTTTTGCTGACTGGAGTAATAGCTTTCTCCTCTTGGAATTCTCATTGAGCCAACAACTCCAGGAAATGCAGAGACTCAGGCTGGGTCACTGGTACTGTAAGACTTGGAAACAGTAAATCCTTATTTTTTTAAAAAACTTTGGAATGTTGTAAAGGCTGTAGGGATTAAACACCAAGCCCGTTTAGTTTAAAAGAACAAAACAAAACACCCCCATTTATTTATGTAGGGCTGTCACGCAGGACTCTTTCATAAAAATCCTTTTGATCTCCCCAGAAGAGGTGCTCTGTGAGGTGGGAGCACCACTGGGATTCCAGCACCGATTTCTGATCAGGGTGTGACTGGCCCAAGGCCACAGAAGAAACTTGGAGCATTCTAAGAATTTCAACAAGCAGTGTCTTAGTTAAGTACTTAGATATATTCAACCACAGGACCCACTGTCTGCCCCTGCCCATCCCCTATTTCTGTCATCCACCTGTTACTACTTGACATTGTAATTATTCCTGTAACGATATTTATCATCTGTTCTGGGCTCTGAAACCAAATCTGCATGCTTGAATGAGATGTTGGGTTTTGGCCAAGGGTGTAGGACTCTGTTGGACAAGAAGAGCCGACATTCGGGAAACACGAATTTAACATTGCGTCTTTACAGTCACGCCTGCTTTTTTTTTCCATGTATAATTTGTGACTTGATTACGTATCAGAATTTTGTCTTATCATTTTGTGTGTCTGGGTGTTTTGTTTGCATGCCTGTATGTGTACCATGTGCCTACAGTGCATATGAAGACCAGAAGAGGGCTTTGTATCCCCTGGAACTGGGGTTGATCATTTGAGCCATCAGGTGGGTCCTGCTGGGGGGGGGGGGGGGTCTAACGCACCAGGTTCTCAGCAAGAGCAATCAGTACTCTTACACATTTAACTGTAGCTCCAGTCCCCCTAATTGGAGGTAGTGTGGAGTGAAGAATTCAGCAGATGTAAATTCTGGGTCTCCCTTGGCCAGTTCCTGCTTCTGATGATGTGAGCTGTCTGCTGGAGTCCCGATTAACAAAATGGAAGGAAATATTATCATCCCTGAAATACTTTGTCGTGGAGGAGTGTCTGCTTGTATTGTTGGTCAGTGACTATGGAGTGTCAGCTCTTAGTCAGAGGGGCTTGCGGGCTGTTTTCTTCCTTGAGTTGTCTGTCCTCTTAAGTAGTCGCTTTGTATCACAAAGTGTTGAGCTTATACTTCAGTGGTGAGAGCAGTCCACGGATGGATTGAAGGAGTCTTTGATCTTAAATACTTGGAATCAGTAAAATTCCTAGGGAACATCTTTGTAAATAACATTTATCTGGTGAGATGCCAATACATAGCAGAAACGTACAAACTTCTTTGGGGGGGGGCAGCAAGAAAATATGGAAACCTGGATTTAAAAAACTCCCCAGTCTTCGTTGTGAATACACTTTCTGCTTTGCTTTTTTGAGACTGGGGGTCATGGAGTTAAGGCTGATCTTGAATTCACTTACCAAGAATGATCTTGAACTCCTGCCTCAGCCTCCAGTTGAGAGCTGGGATTACAGACATGCACACACCATAACTGGCCTGTCTTTAAATAACAGCAAAAGAAAGAAACAATAAAAGGACCAGTGCCAGGAATCTACATCGAATCCAAATGGCCCCTGGAAATAGAAGGTGGACTCCTGAGGGAGGTTGGATTTTCTCATAAGTGAGATACTGTCCCGGTTTAACAGGCTCTGTGGGGATCAGAAGGGAACCAAAAGAGACTGAAAACAAATAAAACCAACTGATCCTCTAAGGAAGGGCAGCATTTCCTGATGCTTGGGTCCAAACAAAATGTAGGAGCCAGGAAAGTTGTCCTGAGGCGGATGTCTTGGACCCTATAGCTCTCTGGGTAGTAGCTGAAACCAGCTGCTGGATTGGAAGGGTGTGGTGCCCCCAGTGGTTTTACCTCCTTGTGCTTTTCTGGTGGAGGCTGAGTGTTAAGAAAGACTGAGATTGGAACGTGAGATCGGAATGTGGTTCTCCTCACTGCCTTCTGTTCCCACTGGCTGGCTTCAGCAAACCAGCTACTTGAACAGTCTTCGTGATCACCCAGTGGTATTCCCAAACAGCTAAAAGCCACTTTGGAAGACTCACTCCTAAATTTTTAAGTCACTTAGAAGTAAGCTGAACAGTCATACAGTAAAATGAGGACTGGGACCCAAGACATCCTTGCTTGCAGCTGTCTGTCCTAAGCCTTTTGAACAAACAACTGCTTTTCAGGGTGTTCTGGATCAGAGTTGCTCCCAGGTGACTCTGGCATAAATTGTCACATCTTTAATCCCAGCACCTGAGAGGCAGCGAGAAATGGACTTCTGTGAGTTTGTGGGCAGCCATGGCTATGTAGTTTGAGACCCTGTCTCAATAAATCAAAAAAGGAAAAGAATGATGATA